TAAGGTTGAGTTGGATTATTTGTTGGATTGAGGTTGAGTTGGATTCCACGGATAATTGCTACTGTTGTTCAGGTGTGGTGTGGTGCATCTCAGAATTGTAGATATGTCATTTGTCAACGAATTTATTGTTCACTGTGTCAGCAGAGTACGAATTACGACCGATGCTGACTGTAGCTGGTCCAGTGTGTCAGCGCGGTGTATACGGACGCCATCTTGTATGCGAGTGCATGATTTATACTAAGCAATCCATGTCAGCCGTAGGTCTAATCGCAACGGAGCTGACAATGAAGAAATTGTCCCCATAAGCAGGAGTCAAGATGACTGCTCTGACTGTACTTGCAGATACTCTGTGGATGGCTAATATCCTCCCAGAGGGTATAAGAAAGTTAACTTAGGTTCTTACTCGGTAGCCAAAGATATCATCAACATTTGTAACAAAGATAGCTCATCGTACGACGTGAACCAACGCCATGTCCACACAGCAAGACCCCAAGTCCACCCGTACAAACGACCTGTACGAGCTCGCCGTCAACATCTCCAGCACGGTAGAAACCTTTATCGGAAGGCTGGATACAATCGGCGCCGAACGACCCAACCTAGACAGCCCCTTTCCAGAGATCATCCAAGATGAAGGCGCGCAGCTGGCCCGGCTAAAGATTCTGCGCCTCTGCGAACGGCTCATGGCTCTGGTCCAGGGTCCGGTCCAATGGCTCATGTTCCAGAATATGGCGTTCCTCGATGCCGCCTGCGTCGGGGCGGTTCTGGACATGGGGATTTACGACATCATTGCGCCTGGGCCTGAACCAACGTCGCTGGATCAGATTGTAGAGGCGACGGGTGCTTCGAAGGATATTCTAAGTATGCGACGCCGGCAATCTAGTATATGAGGTCGAGCTGACAACCTTCAGAGCGAATCATGCGTGTTTGCACGCAGAGATTGATTTTCGATGAGATTGCACCGGAGCAGTTTATTCATAACGGAGTGTCGTTGCAGTTCCTTGCGCCTCCTGTGCAAGCGCTCATCAGTCATGCGTGAGTAGCGTGGTCCGTAAATTGAACGATTGAGCTGACACCGCTAGATGTGACGATGGACTGCGCATGGCAGCGCATTTTACCGATTCTCTCAAGAAGACAGATTGGAAGGGAAGCGATGATCCAGAAAACACTGCCTTTAGCCTTGCGTTCAAAAGTGAGTATCCCCCACCGTCATACGATTCGTGCTAATCCTCGTAGCAAACAAGGGCCTTTTCGACTACTTCTACACCGAGGATATCGCCCGCGGCCAGCGTTTCGCCCTCGGTATGGCAGGCAGTGAGATCATGAAGTCCCTCACGGAGGAAATGTTTCCCTTCGAGTCTCTCCCGCAGGGCGCAAAAGTGGTGGACGTCGGAGGCGGCCGGGGCCATGTCAGCGTACGCATCGCAGAGAAGGTCCCTGGTCTGAACTTCGTCGTACAAGACGATGAGTCCATGCTAGAGGCTGGTCAGGCAGAAGGTGTCCCCAAAGCAGTCAAAGATCGGATCGAGTTCATGCCGCATGATTTCTTCAATGAGCAGCCGGTCAAGGGGGCAGATGTGTATCTCTTGCGGTTCATCCTGCATGATCATCCGGACAGGTTAGTTTTGCAAATATGAAAGAAGAAGTGTAGCTAACAGTCATAGTCGCTGCGCGAAGATCTTGTCGAACATCGTCGATGCAATGGAGCCGGGAAAGTCGCGGATCCTCATTGATGATGCGATTGTTCCCAGCTTCTTGGGTCCGGAGAGTTCTCGGTTCTACAACATGCTTGATCTCTACATGCTTGTTGCTTTGAATGGAAAGGAGAGGACTTTGGAGCAGTGGAACCATTTGTTCCAGATGGTTAGTCCCAAGTTGGTGTTGGAGAAGGTTTGGAAAACGCCAGACGGCGGGCCTGAATCGGGGACTATCCTAGAACTGCGACTGCAGGAGTGAATCTCCGATATTTGTTAATTTGAGGCAAAGATAGATTCAATACTTAGTTTCACAATGGATTGTCACAGAAGGTTGGGTTATCCTTCCCGCAGACTTTTAACCTGCAGTTGTTGAGACCATTAGATATAGTAAAAGTTGCGATTGTTGCATTCATGCTATAATCAAAGTATATACAAGGGTAGCTAAGTGATTTGTGACGCCTCGATCATGACCGAAGACCGTCCGACTGAACAGATCAGCAGTCTACGGAAGCGATTGGCTTACAACCCTTTCAGAAGACTCGACGACAATGCAAACCCATACCAAACGGTTGCAACAAGGGAAATCGCATTCAGATGGATTGACATAGCATGATTGCGGGAAAATGCTTTGTTTGCCTGTTGGAGCTTCGCTGGATCCGTCGTGTTAGAGTTATCTTCATTCATGGCACTTTCTATTGCAGAGTCAGCTACCATCGAGTGAAATATGGATAAGAACTCGAAGCCTACCGTGAAGCGCCCTCCTAATAAAAGCAGTCTTCGTGGTCCGGGGACCAAAAACGAACCAATTCAGGGCCCCGGTGACACCCACCACGATTAAAGGAACAGAGTCCCATATATGTTGCGAGAAAGAGAGTATGCTATAAGGCGGCCGAGTGACCGCAGTCAAAACGACCAATCCCACTTGACAGCGAAAATACGCTGGGAAGATGCGTTTCTGCAGAGCGAGGAACTCTTTCATAGGAAGGGCTTGGTAGCAGACTTTAGTGTTGACAAAGCTCTGAGAGGACGACGTGTCAATTCGGATTCATGATCGGGGGGACTCGAGGGAGTTCTGTGCTCTCACCTGAAAGAGTTCTGTCCCCAGAAGAGCTCCATATGAGAGGAGATGATACGGAAGCAGATTACTGACAGTCTCAACAATTGCCTGCATGTCTTCTCGTAGTGTCAGAGCTTATAGTTATAATTAAAGTGACTGTTTAGAGCCTGGAGATAGTGTCGATTGATTCAGAAGAAAACAGTCACTCTGGAACGGTTAACAAAGCAGAGGAAGAAGTCGAGACTTGAGGCTGTAAGAAAGTCAGGCCAGAAATAAGTGATTGGCGCCACAGGCAAATATGGCTGCCTTAAGGCCCCCCCTGTAAGAACCTTTCCTTTGTCCTGTCACAGCTCCTCTCTGCACCCTTCTCAGCATCAACTAGATACTCATCCTATCATCCATACTACTACTGCCCTTGAATCCATCTCATACGCATCACTCAGCATCTACAATTCACTTAGAACTTGTTACTAATGACTAAAGGATCGCAGGGTACGAGAAGTAGGGTGAGATACGATTCCAAGACAGGCTCTTTCTCCTTCAGCTCTTGGCTTCTAGAGACATGTTCGTATCAGCTTCTCATCGTCAGCTGGTGACACGAGTGCCCCTCACATGTGCCCCTCACACAGATTCGTGTTCCACTGCCAAGATCGATTGCAGTCCGGGCTGTTCAAGCCTCGACCGATTACTTGCATCAAATGGTGGGCAGATCCCCGCCATCTTATCCAGCCTTACTATCGGAAAGCAGCGGAGAGGGTCCTTCAGAGGCACTTCTTAAACAATATGGCTCATGCATCAAACCATTGAGTTTGGATTGCCATCAAGCTACTGACGCGTCTCGTGTATGCGACTGACCAACAAACGAACACGAGGATGTTAGCTGACGGCAGATTGCCTGGTAGCTGCGCTAATTGGTTGATCTCGAACCTTTGTGAATCCTGTCAGAGACTGTTGTAGGGCATCCCGTTTGGGCTGTTCAAGGCCTCGTACTTTTTATAGTCCTCTCGACTGCGGCACTGTTGCCTGGCCGCGGCACGGATCTGGATTTTGCAGCTTAACCAATATTCTTCGAGCCGAGCCTTGGGTATACGAGGTATTTGATGGGTTACCGCTGAGCCCCATAGCCACATCCCAGACAATATCCAACAGATGATGTCAGACTGAATGCTTTTTCTCCGACCATTCTCTGTGTAACACAATCAACCTTGGGAGAGAATCAGACCTTGCGACACAAGTGTCGTAATTACTGAGTGATCCCTATCCTGCGAGCTGCAGGAGGCTTGTCTACGGTTTACCAGGGGTACTCTGTAAGTCATACCGTCATGTGGACGCGTCTCAAGGATGCATCGCTCAATGAAGACCACGGGATCATCAACTTCTCGGACCACACCGAGAAGGGCGCCATTTCGTCGGATCTGCGGCCTCGAGCCGGCCGTATTGAAATGAGGAAAAAAGATCTTCCTGACAGTCTTCAAGAGTATAGACGAGGGAGGCTGGTCTGATGTTCATGCGCCACCACCAGCCTAGATTGGAGCACCCACGTTCTTAGTCGTCAATACTTGCAGAGCTTACAATGGTTGAACGTCAGACCCCAGATCCATAAGACCTATGGAGTACAATGCAACTGCACTAGTCTCGGCTCCGATATACGACAATGGACGACGTTGCATTGGCCAGAGAGAAACACGAACTCGCGTGGCCTCGCGGGCCCTTGACTTCTTTAGCTCTGCAGTGCATTACAGGCTGCATTATCAGTAGCCCTGGCCGCTGATATTAGTATCGTCAATATGACTCGTCCGTAAATGGATGAAGTAATGCCAAACCTCACCTGAACCACCCCGTCTGCTATTGAGATAACCTACCGAGCCAATGATCGCTCCTAACCCTTCGCATCAGTCAAGACCCCAGGAGCGTCTTACTTCCAAGATGACTAGTGTTGACTTGTCGACTACATAGCCCGGCTCGCATTGGAAACCTAATAGGTGCGTCAGCTAAATATTTGTCAGACAGCTATAAATGAATGCAGTAACGGCAGGGAAGTCCTTGATCCTTTCAATGATAAACTTGGCGAGGCTGATCATTGCTGTGTGCTGAGGCTTCTTGCGTAATCCTCCTCATTCTGAGCAGCAGGTCTAGAGGGCGGTGCCTGTTCAACATAGGTGGGCCTGTATAGAAACCTCGTGGCTAATTCCTGCCTCGAAACTTGCCTCATCGAAAGAAACAAAAGTTAAGGCCATTATCAGCCAGCGATGCATTCACAGACTACAAAGGACGAGCGGTCCAAAGATGACTCCTCAAACGAGAAGCAAGACGCTATTGAACGCAGGAGACTTCAAAATCGGCTATCCCAGAGGAATCATCGTCAGTGGAACCTGTGTCTTGTTAATCCCATTCTCCTCATCCATTTACTCACCAGTCAATAGGCCGCAAGATCCGGGACAGGATCGCCAAACTTCAAGAACGTGTTATTGCTAGCGAGCTCAGAGCCGTTGCAACGTTGAATGGATGGGACCAAGCGAGTCCTTCAGCTGCGTCCATGATGGAATCCAAGCCGCAAGGTGACTTTGATAGCAGCCCGTCGGCTTCTGCTTCGGAAGATGCAGCAATCTCGAATCCCTCCCAACGGAACGTCTCCTCCAGTCTTTGTCGGTCGTGCTGTAGTCTACTCAACCAGATGCCCAGTTCGTCCTCTCTGCCTTCTCCACCTTCACCTCTGCCGTTTGACCTCGGTCTCGCCAACGGGGTTGACTCCACCAACTCATCACCCTCTACTCTCTTGAACTCTTCTCCCTCATCGTCTCAGCCCAATCCCTTCAGCCTAGACGCATCTTTAAGCATGACGGGGCTTCACACTCCGAATGAATTCAGCTTCCCGCCATATCCTGACCCTCCAGGCTCCCAACAATATCCACACTGCCCACACTACTATGTAGCAACAGGTGAGGCCACTGTCCCAATATCAACGGACAACTGACTAACCACTGTGTCTTGCTTTAGAGGCCTCCCTACCGCATATCATGCAAACACTGGGTAGCGCAACCTCGCATCCCAAGGCCATCATCTTGATACCGCATGGACATGGATACTCCCCAGCACCATTCACAGGAGCCAACGCGGCAGACTCCACAGGCCTTAGGAGCACGTTGAACGGAAACTTAAATTTGCAAAATCCAGGCTGCCACTGTCTAAGACACGACCGCAGTGCCAAATCTCCTGACCTAGGAACATCCGGAGAATGGATGAACACGCCGTCTTCGACTCCGTTCTGTCCGCTACATCCTTCACAGTCGTCATCATTGGACAATTTTCAGTCCATGATGCTTTGAGCCATATATATTTCAACTCTATCTATGCTTCTTATGTGTCTATGTTTATGTGATGTTATTTGTGAAAATTTGGCCGGATGAGGTATATAGTATAGACCACACATGGTGTGACAAGGCCCTGGCCCCTGATGATTGTATCGGAGTGTTTACTACTTTCTTGTATGAATTTTGGAATAAATACTTTTTCCTTTCACGATCATTTCTTCTCTACAGTTTAAGAGCATCCCGTATTCCCTCTGAGCACAAGGCAATTCTACATTTGACACTCGATTTCCACTTCCAATAGTTGCCATTATACGCCAAAAGTTTATTTGGCTTTCTGAGAATAGATATAGGAGAAGATGCCTGTAGACCTTTGCAGAACTTGATTCTAAGGACCTAAGGAGTGTGGAACAATATACCTGACTGCTTAATATAATAAGAACTTGATGCGAATGAGAGAGAAACGAAGTGAATCAACAAAGATGATAACTTCAAGAGCCAGTGACTGTACAAAACCAATCTGGCTCCAACAAAGCAGTACATTAGTCAAAGTGGATTCTCCACAGCTCCCGATCACAATCAGTCTTGTACCCCGTCCGGGTATGCAGCATGGCTGTATTGTCACTGACAAGCAGATCGCCCTGCTCCCAAGAGAACCGCAGACAGACGCGGTAGTCATACGTCAGGTCATCAACCACTGAGACCAGCCCCTGCTCGTCGTTCTCGATAGTGACCGCACAGGTCGAGAACTTGGTCTTGGTGGAATCCCACGGCTGGTGCCAGCGCATGCACGGCAGCCCGGTGACAGGGTGCGGCACCACCAGGGGCAGATTCTTCAGCTTGGCGTCCCAGAAGCCGTCGTTGTCCATGGCCCAGGTCACCTTCTGCAGCCGCTCTGTGGTCCACGGCAGAGGCAGGTACCGGAAGAAGAGCCGCGAGCTGGCGAAGAGGGTGTACCCGCTGCCCTTGGGCGCGGTGGCGGGGCAGGTGAAGAACTGGTAGCCTGGTGGCTTCTGGACGCGCTTAACCTCCCCCGTGACGGGGTCTGTCTCCTCTTCAAACTTGAACATGCCGTCGTAGTGCATTGGCATTGCCTCGTTGGAGGTGACGTTGTTACCGAGCTTGTCGGTGCGGCCGGCGTCGCGCACCTTTTGGATGATGCCGAAGCTCCAGGGGAGGATGGTGCCGAGCTCGGATGCTTTCTGGACGTATAGCTCTTCTTCGAGGGTTTCTCGGAAGCCGCGCAGGACGACCGGGGAGAGTCCGGTAGAGAGCTGGCGGACTTTGTGCATTGGCAGGTCGCGGATGGATGGAGGGGGCCGCGAGTCGTCAATATCACTGGGCCGGATGACGAGGCCGCAGGGGTAGAGGTGCTCGAACTTGACCCGCAGGCCGTCCTCGACCCAGTCGAAGAGCTTGGACTTCTCCCGGAAGTAGTATGGCTGGCCGTTCTTGTAGACTAGCTCGTGCGTCTCACGCACATCCTCGGCGTGAACTGTGCGGAATGTGCCGTCAGCGCCGACTGCAATCGACGAATGCCATGGTGTGTACCCGAGGGCGCCTCGGACCTGTGGGACGAGCGAGATGGAGAGCTTCTTTGCCCCGTTTGACTCGTGGATGGAGAGACGGACATAATCGGCACGGTTGGCCTTGATGGCGGCAGCAAACATCTTTCCGCGGACGATCATGCTACGAGCAATCTGGGCGATATGAGCTGCTCTGGCCTTTTTGCTTGTATACTGCGTGTCCATTTGAGGGGCCAGGTCCTTGGTCAGGAACTTGATGTATCCGCGATATGTGAGGCAGGTATCATTGTCACTGCGGATGGCCGCATCAGCATCGAAGCTGCGGTCTTCGAATCGGTACATCAACTCTCTTCGGAGGCAGTGCGCATGCGCCAGGTAGTATGACTTGGCTTGTTCAGCGCTGGTCAGAGGAATCCAGGGGTGTTCGAGAAGCTCAAACAGTCGGATAAACTTGACATGATGAAGCTCCTTCTCAACGGCCATCCTGCGGAGGGCTTCTCCATACTCCCAGACAGTCTCGTCAGGTACTCCGAGGATATCTATTATGGTTAGCACGATGAAAACAGTGGCGAGTACAAGAGACTTACCATTGTATACGAGTCCATCCGAGCTGATATATACATCTGCACCCGGTTCGTAGACTCTTCCAATGTTCTCGCACAGGCCATTCAAATGATATAACGCCAGCTCCTCTCCGAGATCTGGCATCACACCCAAGACCTTGTCTCGAGCATTGGGGGACTTGAAAGGGAAAGCTGGGAGGATCATCCGAACAGGCTCCCGCTTTTTGACTTGCTCAACCACGGTGGGAATGAACGAGGTCAGTCCCTGCCAGGACTCGCCAGTCTTCTCGAAATTCACCCCATAACTTTCGATGACTTTCAAGACAGCAATTGCTGTTGCTTTGTCTTCAGAGATGGGACTGTTCTCCTCTCCGTTGGTGGTTTCGAGGGCCTCGGCTAGGAGGTACGAGGTGTCATCCTTGGTCTCGTTGCCCTCGTGCCTGAACGTGACTAGGACTGCCTCCTTTGATTCAACAAGCGGATTGTCGCTGCTTTCGGGGGTGGTGACGGTTACAGGAGGAATGTTGTTTCCGCTTGCGGCAGGTTGCTCGTGCCGATCATCTTCGCTCAACGGTTGCTGCAGAGAGGACTCATTGCGATGGTGCTCCTCAGCGAGATCCTCAGGAGCTTCGGAGGAGGAGGAGGAAGCAGCGATTTCAGTCGTCTCAACGTTCAGAGCTTTTGTCCCATACGAGCCAAGTAGGTCATGCTCTTGTGGCTCCACAGAATATGAGACGGCAGCGTCCTGTGGGTTCTGCAGTATGGCGATCATATCGACGAAAAAATGAAGAATGATACTCTATGTAAAGACTGATGAGGTTCCTTTCTCAGTTGGTATGTTGGGTACTATGTTGCGTACTTCCGAGTGTGACTTCGGCCTAGCTCAATCCGTCGGTATGCACGTTTTTATATCTTTCTAGAAAGAGAGAGACAAAGCAAGACGTAGTGCGAAGAACGCAGCTTCGTCAGCTATATCATCAATGACGTCGAAAGAGCTGAGGATCCCAACTGTTGTGACATTGTTGACTAACAAGCAACCTCACTGTATGATCCCATACGCTACAAGCACACCGTCTCTGCTTGGATTTTGGCAGTCAGCATCATCTATAGCTGAATAATCCCAGTACGAGAAGGATCTATAGGAGGCTGATCAGTGTCCATGCCTCCTGTACCCGGGCCATGGCAGTGAAGCTGAACCTGCATCCGATAGAAGCCTTGAAAGAGAACACGAGGTAGCTGACACAGAGCCTTGGGAGATGACAAGGCTTGCAGCTGCTTAGGCAGATATCCTCGGCTCTGACAAACGAGATATCTGTCAGTGCCTTCAAGTCACATCCATGTGCGCGTCGTCTCACGGCACCCAATGTGCAGCCAAGCGCCTTTGAGGGGTCTGGTCACAGTCAGGCCAAATTTCACATTGAACGCTTCAGCTGCTGAAGACGACCCAGTCAGCAGATATGCTGCGGATTTGTGGAACTGTTGGAACTGTCTGTAGGGTTACACGCTCGCCACGTTCTCTACGAGCACAGCATCCAGGGCGAGGCCCTTGGCCAAGGGCGTCGGGCTGTGCCCACATGTAATAACAGATACGCAAAGACTGTCTCTCGAGAGCACGATCTCACTGTCTTACTGGAGAGAGGCTGTACCAAGATTTAGGGTCGATCCTGTAGAAATGTGACTCAGGCTGACTCTACAGAACAGGCTGAAAGAAGATTTTCAGACAAAATTTGAATTCCCGCAGACAATAGAGGAGGGTCGAGAACGCATCGAACTCATCCCCTCACCAAAAAGAACTCTCAGCTAGCTTGTAGCAAGTTAGATCGCCTCTTCTGAGATCCCTTATTCAGAAGGCTCCCCTTTCCAGTCATATTCCATCACGCGCGAGATGAATGCCGCCATATCAAGGGAGGTCAACTGACTAACGAGATACAAGGATGCATCCAAGCAGCTGCTCACTCCTGCCGCCGTCAGTAGCCTGGCGGACCCAACTTTTAGAACCCCTGCATCTATGTAGCGCTTGTGCGACACCTCAGGAGGGGGAGCCCCTTCTCCGTTTACCCGGATGCAGAACTCCCGAAGTTTCTCAATGGCACGATGGTGAGTCGTGACCGAAACCCCAGTCATAAGTCCAGCCGCCCCAACTAGAAACGCTCCGGTGCAAATTGAGAACAGTACACGCGGTTCATCTGGCGTCTTGGGAGGTAGTGTGGCAAAGCTGCGAATAAGGTCTACCTCCGGGGGGTTGGACGCGACGAGTGCATTGAGAAGAGATGGTGGCCCACCAGGGACAACCATGATGTCGAAATCCGCGAGACCCTGCATTGCGTCCTCAAGCAAGAGGTCCGTCTGGACCGTGAGGGCCTTCTTGGCGTTCACTGTTCGTGATCGAGCAATGGTGTTGATCTGGAAAACCCTGTCCGGGTTATCCGGGTTTCGATTGTGGGATGTATGAGTGAAGACTTCCATGGGGGCCGTGAAATCAAGGATGTCCACTCCTTCGAAGAGTAAAACGGCTACCTTGTAGTACTTCTTTGGCGGGGTAGAAGACATGGTGAAGGACAATTTCTCGCCTGTTTCAGACTGGGATGCTGATCGTTGAGTGTAGTCAATAATGCGATTCTGACAACCACGAACGCGTTTATTCCAAAGAAAATTCTGTTGAACCGACTGAGCTTGGAAAGTAAGGTACTGATCTGATATTTGATCGAGCGAAGGAGTACGAGTGTGAAGGAACTCATCGGCCAGCTGTAAGCTGACACTGCTGACTACATCTGCACGGCCAGTCCAATGAGGCGGGCCATCGCAAGGAACGAGACGCACGAAGAATAATCATCACTTGCGTTCATTAGGCAGAATCGCGATAGTCTTGAAGCATAAGGAGTAAGACAAGCAATCATTGGGCTTGAGTAGCCAGTCTGTATTACTTTCACTTGCGGTCAGGTCTGTCCATGGATATACCCTTCAAAACGCAGGAACATTTGTCCCTAAATGAGCTTAGAAGTATTAATAGAACTTAGTAGTAGAATAATCTGCTAAAGTTCAAATACTCAAGTGCAGTTTGTTTGAGTGTCAGTGTAGTCGGTAGTCTCTCTTCAGAGTTTTCTCTCGCCCAACTGAGTCAAGTTTTCTGCGAAAACAAGAATGCATAGACGGATCAAGAAGACTTGCTATGTCGTAGAGAGTCGCATGGATTGATACCTGCTATAATTGTCAGGTGAGAATCGGAAATCAACTGCGTCTTCAATGCTGAGGAGTTGAAGTAGAAGATTAAAAGAAAAGTGGGTGGAGCGGGGTGTGGACAGAAACGAGGTGTACCTTTCAACTGCATAGATTCTGATGTCTTTCTCGACGGCTGTTGATGGTCCCAGTGCGGGCAAGATGACCAATATGGGGTATATTTGAGTCATTCAGAAGCTTGAAGCTCAAATGGATGCTTATTACCATATTGCTCACTCTCTTAGCACAAACATCAACACACACAGAATTCCTCATGACTTCGCCAGCTTATAGCCATCACTTCTCCATCAACAACGTCCCCTTTTGAGTAGCATCATCATACCAGTATCCTCAACCCAATGTGATGGGAGGCAGACGAGCATATGTTTGGACCAGCGTTCCTGAACGCTTGAAGCGGTGAGTCGACTTGGCTTCAAAGTACCAAGACAGAGAGATAGCTCACAGTCCTCCTCGGATTGAACAGCCCCGCGACATCCAAGGTCTTGAAATATTTTTCTGGCCAACTCAAGGACAAAGCCTTCGAAACCACCATCTCCCTGGATCGTAACCCTAGACGCACTTGAGTCATTCAAAACCCCCGGTCCTGAACTCCCGCGTCTCGCTGCCGAGACACCTCCAGGACATTGTTGAGTTCAACTACACCATCAGTATGGAGTATGACGCGTCCACGACGCTGCTGAGCGAGCTTCGCGCCCAGGATCAGTTCTGGAGTTGTCGGCAGATGTGTGATATCTGCGCGCCTCGCCAGCACGATGTGTGACTTACGGACTGGAGAAATCCTCGGCACGGGGACGGTGAGGAGGAATCCATGGAGGGGAGCTATGGATATTTGCTTGAGATCATGCAGGGCGGCAAGGTGCCTCTGGCGTTGTTGGATGCGTCGCCGAGGCACTCGGTGCAGGATGGGGATCTGCCCTCCGCGTTGGTAACCTGAAGCCAGCAGGGGCGGCTCAGTAGATGTACTTCAGTCATGAAAGAAAACATTCCAGGTCCTTGTGTTGTAATACCATGAAGCTGGCGTGGATTATAGATTCATATTGACTGATGAAATATGACTTCAAAAGTAGATTCGAAATGCTTAAACGCGATGAGTCCTCAAGCAATATGGTCCATAACATGGAAGCCATCCAACTGTCAAACGCCTAACAGGCAGATCATAGTTGATAAATCTGAAAATAGCAGACAATGACATCCCGGAACCTGTGCACACCCATAAACCCCTACCAATGCAAAAAGAAGACATGGTGGCGTAGGAGAACCATCATGGTACTAACATGTTGTCCAACGTATCACAATCAGCTCCAAAGCGGAGGATGAATGTACTCGGCCGCGCGGTCAAGGATAGTAGGTATGGTCCACTCCCCACTCGTGGAACTCTCGGGCGTCGGAGGCGGCAGCGACCCAATGCTAGGTGTCATAGCACCGACCGTTACAGGAGGAACAAGATTAGCTGCGGTTACTGAACCCGCTGAGGGATTCCGGTATGCTGAGCTGCCATTGTGATCGGCAGCGCGGCTGCTCAGGGAAGAGAAAGCAGCTTCTAGCTTTTCCAAAGCACGGTAGGTCTTGGTTAAAGGCTTAGCCCACTGGGTTTGCGCCTCAAGCGGTATGGGCGCAGACTCTGGAGAGGTCTGGTCAAGAGCAGCAGGACTGGTTCCTGTCATATTCGCAGCTCCTGGAGCTGTATTGTACGCCGTGCTGCCGGCTGCGGCAGGACCTGGTCCGAGAGTGCCTTCTTCATTGGCGCGTTCGCCGATGATGTTTTTGAGCTGGTGCAACAGGTTCCAAAAGTGAGGGTCCGTCTTAGACTCCTCAGTGACTGCTAGAAGGAACATTGAGCTGATCGCTCGCTGCAAAGTAATCCAGGAGCGTGACGCATGAGAACTGATTGTATGCATCTCAATGTATGCCTCGACAGTTGTCATCAAATTCCTGACGCAGTCAGCGCGCATGCTGAGGGTAGTTGGATCGTTCGAATCCAGTGGGGACTTGAGTGCGGGGCGCAGCAGCTCGGAAGAAAAGTAGGAAGAATGTAGCTTCAATACAACCCTTTCCAAATGTTCCGTAGATGAAAGGCAGTACTTGCGGTCACGCAAATGCGGTTTGCCTTCAATCATAATTTGTTGAATCCTTTCTTTATAAGTTTGTATGGTTTTGAAGCTCATTTGCGAGTGAGAACTAAGCATCCGCGAGCGTACGACCTCGAGGGCCAGAGAGATTATTCGGCAAAGAGTTTCAAAGTACGAGAGCTCTCCCGGCTTCGAATCTTCGCGGTACGCGATATCCGGCTGACTGACGGCGGTGGTTGACGGTCGATCGTACGAGAGAGAGAAATGGCTGTCCTGCCATGCCATAGACCACCTAAACGACATTAGCATGATGTTAAAAGTCCTTGATAAGACTGAGTGACTGTACCAAACATGTCGTCTACGGTAGCGCTCCTCTAGTGAGAAGCGACTCGATTCTACATGGAGACCAAGCGCAAGTCCCATACGAAGTGTCATGCCTGACGCCAGTCAGCCACGAGTCCACGAAAGAGCTGCTTTATTTACTCACCAAGTAAGACATAAGAGATACCAGGGTTCATATTGTACGACAACACGTTACCGATCACCAACAGGGTTTGAATGGCTTCGATGGTAGGTTGTGAAAGGAAATTGGTCATCCGGAGACATTGGTAGGAGCAGCACACTAGATTCAGTCAGCAGTGAGTTAGAATGATCGTGCACGTGTAGATTCGAAACATACCATATACTTGAGAAGTAAGTTCTCTCTCTTTTGAAGGCAAGTCGGATGACTGACAGCCGGAAGCCAGCACGGCGAAGAGCAGACCCAAGTAGGCTATAGTCACACCAAACGGTCGCTGTGCTTGATCCGTGTCCGTTCGGTATACGCCACCCATAGATGCTCTACTCCGCAATAAAAGATCGAGATTCATTTCAAACTGCTGGATATCTTCGATGACAGGGTAAATGGCGCCTGCGACGTCGCGATAGTAGAAGAAAAATCTGCCAGTCTGTTAGCATTCAACGAGGCTCATAACGTCCCAGCCACGGGTAAAGAACTGACTCCTTGCACTGCTGATCACTTGGAAGCGCACTACAGACTGCGCTAATGTCAAATGTCGACATATCCGAAGACCACAAATCAACGAACGGATACGTGGCGGACTCATTGTCGAGACCCAACTTCGGCAGGATCCCACCCTCAAGGAGAGCTTGGAGCTGATCTGACCCGGACTTGTTGTTGAGAATGTACGCAAGGACGGATCGAGATCCCAAGTGCACAGTGCCTTCGCCCAACGTGTTCGCTGCATGAATGCCCTCCCGTTCCGGAGAAGCAGCCTTGGACCGATTACTCCCATCAGCGCTATGCGCACTGCCCGCCTCCAGGATCCCACCGGGGCCCTCCTCGGCCCGTTCCAGTCCAACTCGTAGGTTCGAAATGGTCTTTTCCATCTCCTTCAGCCTGTTGCGAACATTGTCCCACTCCTCCCGCGCAATGGTTATACGGTTCCCGGATCCTAAGGAGTTAATCCGACTTGCCCCGGCCTCCTGCTTGATCCGCAGATGGGGCTCCTCCTGGTCAGCTGACACCGTATGCTCTGCCACACCGGGATGAGAGGCTCCGGCGGGGCTGTCGTTGTATGACGGAGGGATTGAACTCCCTATAATCCTTTTTTTCGACGGCCGCTCGTACGAGCAGATATCGGGATGGTCGCGCTTGACACAGCCGTCGCACGGAAGATTGCGGTCGCATTTAACCTTGCGTGCATGGCAGGGATAACAGGCTTTGGGTTCGCGCGCCTTTCGTTTTGTTCGGATAATCGCGTCAACTTGGGATTGCGGGAGGTCGGATAAAGATCGGGAGGTAGCGGCGGTCATGTCGGAGCCGGCTGCGGACGGCGAGAACGACATTGAGGCTTGGTAGGGGGACGCCATTGGAAATATCAAGATCGGCACTCTATCGAGAAATTCCCGAGTGCTGTATGCGTTTGTGTAGCTATAAAGATTCGGTGAGAGATCCGGCTGAGCCAACCTCGGAGATCATGGAGCAAAGCGGAGGAGCGGATGCGGCGCGAGATGTATCAATCGATGGCAGCGTCAGGAAGTCAGGTCAAGAGAAATACATCACTTTCCAGGAACAGATCTAGAATTAAGTGTTCAGAGCCACAGTTCTCAGCATTCTGCACGGTAGCAGCGCATCTGGAGAAAGCCGTGGTGCGCGCGGCCTGAGCTGCCGGGTTGGAGAATCCGCTGTTACTAAGCAGCAATCTGCACGGCACGTGATAGGCGCGGGGAAGGCCAACCCTAATGCCAAAAGAGGATAGGGATGACGTCTTGACCGAGAACATGAAGTAATGATGGCGATGTTCCCAGACCTTTAAGGGAAGGACCTCTCTAGTTGAATGAAAAATATCTATTAATCTAATTCTATTGTAATTGGTATATGATATCTATCAATGCTTCCAAAAACCCAGAGGACTCCGCTTTTTTATAAGTCATTCACATGACCTGAATAGTAACCAAAAAGATAAACCCCAGAAAATATAGTAATAAACCGGGTGGAAAGTAGTAAAGTATCGGATATGCAATAGCATTCTACGAAAGTCCGGACCCTTAAGCAGAGACTATGCGTCGAAGAGCTCTAGTGCTTCTCTCCCGGTCCCTGCTGCTCCTCGTCGTCGGCGAAGGCAAATTTCGAGTACCGACGGATGGAAGCGCCTTTGAAGTAGAAGACGTAGGGGATCGCGCAGCAAGCGAGGGCAATGAAGGCTAGCAATGTGCTGGCCCATCGGTCGTTCAAGCGGTCATACATCTGCTCCGTGAACAATACTGTGGATGCACCCCACATGGAACGGAGGAAAGTCTTTGCGGCAAGGGCAGAGGCTGCCTGATGCTGGTATGTATCCACTGTGGTAACAATTAGTACTGTACCATCGTTAAGGATTGAAGAGAACATACCGAGGTAATTGTTCGCAGAGTTGTACAAGAAGATGAAGCCGAATCCAACGGGGAGGCCACCAATGCAAGGGCCAATCCAGTGGATGTTGGGGTATGATGTCCAGGCGAAGATAAAGAGACCAATGGGGATAAACCAGCATGAAAGCATCATAGGGATCAGACGCGCTTCAGCTGGAGGCTTTCCACCGTGCTTCTTAACAAGTGTAAGATAGTGCTTGTTGACGAAAGGAGCACAGGCAGCGCTACACAAGACACCAATGGCCAAAGGAATGAACATCAGACCAGTAGGACCTGAGCTCCATCCCTTGCCTTTTTGGTAGACGATGGGATAGCTAGAAATGAGCTGTCAGTTCAGTCCTCGAAAAATCTTGCAAGGCAGTGCCAACTTACGCGACGAAGAACATGTATAGCAAGCCATACAAGACGGACATATAAATGGAGATGAACAGAACAATGGGTTCCAAAAACAGGAGCTGGAATGGGCGGAGGAGGAAGATACGCAATCTTTCTCCCATAGGGCGAGCGTCCAATTCTGTCTCTGTGACGTACTTCGGATCATTTTCAGTTTTCCTTAATTTCTTTGCTCTCTTTCGCAAAATCATTGGCGCATAGGTCTCCGGGACAGTGAAGGTAATCAGGACCCAGGCGACAAAGGCCAGAATGAGCTGGATCCAGTAAAGCCATCTCCAACCAGCGTGGCAGAGATAACCACCAACAAGAGGACCGATGGCGGGCCCGATGAATGGGCTGGCAGAGAAGGCAGCCATGGGGACACCACGCTCCTCATTCCTCCACAAATCAGCCAGAGTACCGCCGACCAACGTCATTGGAGCACTGAACGCGATACCATCGATAGCTCTGCAGACGATAAGGGTACCGATATTCTTCGAAACCGCGCAAGGTATGATGAAGATAACCGCAAGCAGGAGCGTAGCAGCGTAAACAGGCCTGCGTCCAACCATTTCCGAAAGAGGAGCAAACATCATAGGGCCCGAAGTCAGTCAGCATGGGACAAGCTCCGAGTGATTCTGTTCATTGAGACTTACCGACACCAAAACCAATGACGAAGACCGTAACCGTAACAAGACTGACTTCATGAGAGACATTGAAGGCCTCGGATGGCCCTTCAAGGTCGGCCGTGATCACACTACTGGCGAAGGCGACGACGAAACATGTGAACGAGACGACCATAGTGCAGTACCATTTGTAGGCCTTGGACCAGTTCTTTGGGTTCTCGGGATCATTGACTTTGAATGTGACCAGCTTCCAGTCCTCTACCTTGCCGGTAGCAGAAGATTTGACTGGCTTGATGATCTCTCCCGTCGCAGTCTCCGCGGTGTACTCTTCCAGGTTCGCATCGTTGGTGACTTGGCGGAGGGGAAGGTCCAGGGGGTCGAATTGACCCTGGCCAGCTCCCAAGGAGAGCCTCCGCGTGGCATCCTGATGGTGTTGTTGGTCCGACATGCCGAGCTATGCACTAGCGACACTCAGATATCCTAGTTGGGATGGAGATGTAGTACTGAGCACGGTCGGTAGCCGGGAGATACATCCAGGAGGATCCTGGCAAGTACTTATACCGCTGAGTCGATCCATTTTTATCGTTTGAAAATTGAACCTGTGGGACCAGTCGGGGAGGGCGGCGGGCCAGATGCAAGAAAGGAGTAATAATGGATCTTTCCATTGTCAACATCATAGAGCATGATACCAAGGACGGCAGCTTGTCCCGGATCTGCCTCGGCGGTCTCTCGGTTGCCCGATCTGGCAGTGGACCTACTAACCTCTTCAGGCAATATAACTCGAGGCGACCGCATTTATCATGACGTCCCGCTGTCAAGTATGGATGCTTTTTTCCATGTCTCTATCTCTCTATACCAAATGGAGTCATAGACAAGAGCCTAAACTTGACATTTATTTAGTTGGGCAGACACTCAGCTTACTCAGGGGTAAATCTTCTCCCCACCTAAACCATCAATTCCAAATCTGGATGAGGCAAAAACGAAGGAACAAAGGCGATCAAGGCAACATTTGATTGATAGCCTATGGCGCAAGTCCGTTCAAGGTAGGCATTGAAATCACCCTCGGACACATCTTTCGATATAAGAAGAGAGGATATAAGAGACGGGTAAATACCAGCTGTGCTCCGTACAGAATGCTGTTTCAACGGAGTGCTCCTAGTGGGAATTCTTCAATCGACGTGACCAGTTTCCCTCTGATAGTTAGAATCCATATTTTGCCATTGGACGTGAGCGTCTCTATCATCAATCTATGTAAGCTGCAACTTTTTGTTGAAGCTTGGCTCAGCGAGAGCACGAACCACCAAGGTCAGTCAGGAATTGTTATCAGTTGGTTATTAGGGCTGGTTCCGGGTCCCTTCATGAGCCTGGTCAAGTTAGCTAGCTGCTTATGGCGAAGTGGGTCTGATTAGCTTGCACTGTGTATGTGTATTCTGGACCTTGGGCACAGAATCATCTAGATCTATGGAACCCTATTATTGAAATCAATGTTGCGCATAGTCGGAGGGCTACTCCCATATTTAAGAGCTCATGTGTTCCCCTTAAAACCTCCTAGAGAACTGAGAGGACTATCAACCCTACAAACTGTGTAGTTACGAAGCAACGTCTTATGTTTGACTGTTTCTTGGCAAAAGTCATAGATGTGGGATATCACAATTATCCACCTTGTAACTAGAACGAAGTTTTCAAAGACTGGCATAACTGCAATTATGCTATCTATCATTATAGCTAGTATTACGGAGTACTCGGCCATGAATCTTGTTGGCGAGAAAATTTGCTGCCAAAGAGCCACCACCAAGGAAGCTCCGCCGCCAATAATTCTTGGCATCGGAAGGCTGATGTGATCATGTGACGTCGGAGCGTTTCTCCCAATATGGTAAAGCGGGTTTTCCTTTCCTTAAGAGGTAATATGTCTTCGAGTAAGTTATGCGTCTTGTCATTAATATTATCGGGATAATTACTGGAAACCCTTGGCTTTTGTGATCAAGCCTCAAAAGGTGATAGAAGTTGCATACAAAATCTGAAATGAAGTCTGTGCTGATATCCGGAATACAGTAACGGCTAAGTTCAATGTCCTGTGAAGTTTGTGTAGATGGATCGACAGTCAAAGCCGATGATCTAACCCTTTGTGTCTGTACCTCCACAGGATTCATACTCCGTATTTTCTTGCGACTCCGGCAAAATATAATCGTGCGTTGCTCTGGATTTTATATCACTGCCTGGCATTCTCTTGTCGAGAACACTTTATGTATTGGAAAACCGGTTCTTCTTCCCCATGTCTCACACATCTCCACTAAAGAATGCGGGACAGTGGACACAAGCGGAACATCATTGCTGTGACATTCAAGCTTCTATAGTAATAAACTCACTTGGCGCTTCGAATCTTGGACACCAGACATTGAGCAAGATGCAAATGATGTCGACCCCTAAGATGAAACCCACGACCTTTAATTTCTTTCAAATACAGAAGATGGACATGCTGAATCCTGAGGCATCCACGGGCTCAAGTTTGTCCGTAAGTGTCACATGACTGATAAGCAGAGATCATTGGGAGATAAGCCGGAAAGGGATTAGCGCGGGGCTGGAACTTCGACGCCTCCCAAAAAGACTCGAGTTGACTCAAATGTGAGTAATTTTACGACGGCCAGCAGCTCAACGCCCCGTCGCTGTGGTGCTCCAGCCGATTCTTCTCGTTAGAAGTGTCTCTTTGGCACTTCTGTGAAGATTTGAATCACATATTTGTCTTTCTCATCTTACTGTCTCCCTGTCTCCCTGTCTCCCTGTCTTCCTCAGGTTCGCCATCCTGTTGCCCGCAGAAGCGGAAAAAAAAAAAAAAAAAACTAATAGGAGGGGACAAAAGGTGCCACTTCACAATGGCCTCCACATCCACCAATTCCACATACTTGGCCATCCCAGGCTCAGTTGCCTTCTCACACTCTCGTGGACGGGCAATTGCAGCCAGCATCGGGGCCCAGGATGTTCGGGCTCAGTGGATCCACTACGTCCACGCTGAACGACCTTTGGATGCTCAGCAACAGGGCGTCTTGGAGCAGTTGCTCCGTTACGGCGATATCACCGATGTTCCCGCCTCATTCGGCCCCGAGGACGGTTCCTTCGATGTCTTCTATGTCTTTCCCCGCACTGGAACGATCTCCCCTTGGAGTTCCCAAGCTACTGGTATCTCGCATGTTTGTGGCTTGCGTCAGTACGTGAAGCGCATTGAGCGGGGTATCAAGATCTCATGTCTTCGCGAGAAGTCACAAGAGTTCAAGCCTGGTTTCGAGGATGTTCTCCATGATCGGATGACCCAATTGCTCAGCCAAACCGAGCCCGACCTGCACCTAATGTTTTCCGAACATGCTCCTCAACCCCTCGAGACGATCCCCCTTCACGGCAGCGACAAGTCTCCCAAGGAAGTGCTACAAGAAGCCAACAAGCGACTAGGGTTGGCATTGGAACAATCAGAGATTGACTATCTCGCTGATGCTTACGGGCCCAATGGTCCCCTCGCTCGTGACCCTACTGATGTCGAACTGTTCATGTTCGCTCAGGTCAACTCGGAGCACTGCCGTCACAAGCAGTTCAACGCTTCCTGGGTTATCGATGGCAAGCAGATGCCAAACAGTCTCTTCTCCATGATCCGCAACACGCATAAGAAGCACCCCGATCACACCGTTAGCGCCTACAGTGACAACGCTGCCGTGCTTGAGGGACCCAACGCCGCATTCTGGGCTCCTGACCCATTCACCGGCGAGTGGAACCACACAAAAGAGATCGTCCACTTCCTGGCTAAGGTCGAAACTCACAACCATCCCACTGCCGTCTCTCCTTTCCCTGGCGCTGCCACCGGCTCGGGTGGAGAGATTCGGGATGAGGGTGCAGTCGGCAGAGGCTCCAAGCCCAAGGCCGGTCTTGCTGGATACTGCGTTTCTGATCTCCTGATTCCGGATCTGAAGCAGCCTTGGGAGCTCGATGTTGGCAAGCCCAACCACATTGCGAGCAGCTTGGACATCATGCTGGAGGCTCCCATTGGCAGCGCTCACTACAACAATGAGTTTGGTCGTCCCTGTACACTTGGGTACTTCCGTACTCTCCTCACACAGATTGACGTCGGCAACGGACAGACTGAGGTTCGCGGTTACCACAAGCCTATTATGATTGCTGGTGGCGTTGGGACAGTCCGACCACAGCATGCTATCAAGAAACCCGAGGCCGTCAAGCCCGGCTCCTACCTCGTTGTTTTGGGAGGTCCTGCCATGCTTATTGGACTGGGCGGGGGCGCCGCTTCCAGCATCGCGTCCGGTGAAGGATCTGCGGACTTGGACTTCGCTAGTGTCCAGAGAGGCAACGCTGAGGTGCAGCGGAGAGCTCAGGAGGTTATCAATGCTTGTGTGGCCATGGGGGAGAACAACCCCATTAAGTTCATTCACGACGTTGGTGCCGGTGGGCTTTCCAACGCGCTTCCCGAGCTGATTCACGATTCCGGACTCGGTGCCACTTTTGAGCTTCGTGAGATCGATAGCGCCGACAAGAGCATGAGCCCCATGCAAATTTGGTGCTGTGAAGCCCAGGAAAGATATGTCCTCGCAGTTGGCGAAGAAAGCATGAATAAATTCACCGCCATCGCTCATCGTGAGCGTTGTGGTTTCTCGGTCGTTGGCCGTGGTGAGGGTGGCTCTGACGAGGACAAGAGACTCATCCTCCTTGACAGAGACTCCACCGAGTATCCCAAACCCATCGACCTTCCTTTGTCAGTCCTCTTTGGCAAGCCTCCTCGGATGACAAGGACTGTGGACTCCCGCAAACTGAAATTCCCCGCCGTCGATGCCAGCCTTACCAGCTACCTTCCTTCCCTTGCGCCGAACCGCGTCGAGCTGATCAGCGAGGCTGCCAACCGTGTCCTTTCCTTGCCTGCCGTAGGCTCCAAGTCCTTCCTGATCACAATCGGCGATCGGACCGTGGGTGGTCTTACTGCTCGGGACCAGATGGTTGGAAAATGGCAAACCCCGGTCTCTGACGTTTCCGTCACGGCCACTGCGTTGGTTCAGGGAATGAAGACTGGTGAAGCCATGGCCATGGGTGAGAGGCCAACTCTTGCTCTTATTTCTCCGGCCGCATCGGCTCGGATGGCAGTTGCGGAGTCGCTCATGAACATTGCTGCTGCGGACTTGGTCGACCGCCTGAACCATGTCAAGCTTTCTGCCAACTGGATGTCCGCCAGCAATCACCCCGGTGAGGGAGCCGCCATCTACGAGGCAGTTGAGGCTATTGGTATGGACTTGTGTCCTAAACTTGGCATCAGCATTCCCGTTGGAAAGGACTCCATGTCAATGAAGATGAAGTGGACCGATGAAGCCACCAAGGAGTCCAAGGAGGTCACTGCCCCTATGTCCCTCGTTATCTCTTCCTTCGCGCCCGTCGGTGATTTCCGTAAGACCTGGACACCAGCCC